GGGATTAAAGCAGGAGTAAAACAGCTTCAGCTCGTCCTGCACTCAAACCCTAAACCCTAAACCCTAAACCCTAAACCCTAAACCCTAAACCCTTGAATGCAGCTTTCCTATCCATTGCCTGCTGCTGCTGCATCTCCCGCTCCCTGGCTGGCTCTCCCGCCTTGCGGCGCAAGCCCCGAACCCGAAACCGCGCCCCAAACCCCAAACCCTAAACCCTAAACCCTAAACCCTAAACCCTAAACCCTCACTGCGTTTCTTTCGGAGAAGTGGCACATCAGCAGCATGGCTTCCGCCCACTTGTGGCCAACCACAACTGCTGCTGTCAGCCACAAAGTCGAAACCTCCAAAGCAGCTCCCACCAGCACTCCTGCAGCACAACAGCTAGCTAGCTAGCTAGTTAGCTAGCTGGCTAGCTGGCTAGCTGGCTAGCTGGCTAGCTAGCTAGCTAGTTAGCTAGCTGGCTAGCTGGCTAGCTGGCTAGCTGGCTAGCTGGCTAGCTGGTTGGCTGGCTGGCTAGCTGGCTAGCTGGCTAGCTGGCTAGCTGGCTAGCTGGCTGGCTAGCTGGCTAGCTGGCTAGCTGGCTAGCTGGCTGGCTGGCTGGCTGGCTGGCTAGCTGGCTGGCTGGCCAGCTGGCTAGCTAGCTGGCTAGCTAGCTGGCTAGCTGGATGGCTAGTTCGATGGCTAGATGGCTGGCTAGCTGGCTGGCTAGGTCGACGGCTAGATGGCTGGCTAGCTGGATGGCTAGCTGGCTAGCTAGCTGGCTGGCTAGCTGGATGGCTAGATGGCTGGCTAGCTGGCTATCTGGCTAGCTAGCTAGCTGGCTAGCTGGCTAGCTAGCTGGTAGTTTACCTTCGAAGAGCCCGTGGATGGCAAGGGCGGCCATGAGGAAGAAAGCGGTGGAGTCGAATCTGCTGCTGCTGCTGCTGCTGCTGCTGCTGTCGGGAGTTTTGCTGCTGCTGCTGATTTGATTTAATTCATTTAATTCATTGATTTCATCTATTTTCTTCATTTTGTCCACTCCCGAACCTTTTGCTGCTGCTGCTGCTGCTGCTGCTGCTGCTGCTGCTGTTTGCTCCGTCTTGCGAACGTCCCCTATCTGCAGCTCGATGCAGCACCCCTCAGGGTGCGCTGCAGCAGCAACAGCAGCAGCAGCAGCAGCAGCAGCAGCAGCAGCAGCAGCATGAGCAGCAGGACTCCCAGCAGCAGCATTACAGCAGTGCTCCCAGCAGCAGCAGCAGCAGCAGCAGCAGCAGCAGCACTCCCTGGAACAACAGCACCCTCAGCAGCAGCAGCAACAGCCGCACTCCCAGCAGCAACAGCAGCAGCAGCAGCAACAGCAGCAGCAGCAGCAGCAGCAACAGCAGCAGCAGCAGCAGCAGCAGCAGCATTACAGTAATCGACGTCTTGTTCATCAGAAGCGTTGCTGCTGTTGGTGCTGATCTCTTTGCCTTCCTTTCGACTGCCCTCGTGGGCCTCGTCGTGGCTAAAACCTGCAGCAAACCCTAAACCCTAAACCCTAAACCCTAAACCCTAAACCCTAAACCCTAAACCCTAAACCCTAAACACCTAAACCCTAAACCCTAAACCCTAAACCCTAAACCCTAAACCCTAAACCCTAAACCCTAAACCCTAAAACAAAACCCTAAACCCTAAACCCTAAACCCTAAACCCTAAACCCTAAACCCTAAACCCTAAACCCTAAACCGCAAACCCTAAACCCTAAACCCTAAACCCTAAACCCTAAACCCTAAACCCTAAACCCTAAGCTGACCACTGCGCGGGAAAAGAAAGAAGCAAAACGGCAGCGCCTACTCCGCCCGAAACCCCAAACCCTAAACCCCAGCGCCCAACCCCAAGCCCCGACCCAACCCCAAACCCTAAACCCTAAACCCTAAACCCTAAACCCTCACTGTCGCCGCAAAGAACTCCTTCGCAAAAAAGAATAATTAAATATCCGACGAAGACTAAACAGAAAGTGGCGGGGTAGGGTTTGGAGTTGAGGTGTACGTACACCTCAAGCTCGTCCAGCAGCTCCACCGCCTCCGGCATTATGTGCAAAACCCCCAGCGCCAAAAACGCCCCTGCGCAAACCCTAAACCCTAAACCCTAAACCCTAAACCCTAAACCCTAAACCCTCGGCCCCGGCCCCGGGCCCTCATCCCCAGGCCCGCAGTCTCGGGGCCTCAAGGCTGCAGCCTGCAGCGGGCGGGCCCGCGGCCGCGCGCGGCGGCAGCTAGGGTTTAGGGTTTAGGGTTTAGGGTTTAGGGTTTAGGGTTTAGGGTTTAGGCACCTGCGGCGAAGGCATTTAAGTAGGAAATGTTTTTGCCGATTTTGCACCTGTCAAGCACCAAGGGAATTGCTGCACCAGTGAGAGCAGCAGCAAAAAACAGAATTGCTGCTGCTGCTTTTGAAGCGACCAAAACAGCAGCAGACGACATCTTGCTGCTGCTGCTGCTGCTGCTGCTGCTGCTGCTGCTGCTGCTCTCGCGGTTGCTGCTTCGGAAGCCGCTGCTGCTGCTTCTTCCCCTGTGAAAATCGAAGCACGCAGCTTCTCCTGCTGCTGCTGCTGCTGCAGCTGCTGCTGCTGCTCGCGGAGGCCGCTGTTGCGGCTGCTGCTGCTGACGGGGGCCGCTGCTGCGGCTGCTGCTGCTGCTGCTGCTGCTGCTGCTGCTGCTGCTCCTTCTTGGCAGCAAAGAAAAGCAGCAAAATAAGTTGCAGTGTATGCACACGCGAAACTCCGGAATCGGGGCCTAGGGTTTAGGCTTCACCGCAGCGGCTCGTGACTTTCCATCAGCTAGGGTTTAGGGTTTAGGGTTTAGGGTTTGCGCTGCCGTTGAGGGTTTAGGGTTTAGGGTTTGCGCTGCCGTGTGGGGCGAGAGAAGAGACAGAAAACAGACACGATAAAGTGTCCATACACTGCAGCTTCTGGGCTGCACGGGTGCTGCTGAAGCTGCAGCAGCAGCAATTCTGAGTTGCTGCTGCACCTGCTGCAGCAGTTGCTGCTGCTGCTGCTGCTGTGCTGCTCGCGTCGCTGCTGCTGCTGCTGCTGCTTTCCCCGTGTGTCTGTCCTTGTAAAAATGAGTTCCTAAATGGGGCCCAGGCAAAGGCTAGCGGTTTCTCTCTCGAGACTGCTGCTGCTGCTGCTGCTGTTGCTGCTGCTGCTGCTGCTGCTCCTGCAGCCGCTGCTGCTGCTGCTGCTGGCGCGACAAGTTGCTATTTATTTAAACTGAAAAACAATTCAAAAGCAATTGCATAAAAACAGAAAGTTGGCGCGCGGACAAGCAGCGAGCAGCAAAGGTGCTGCTGCTGCTGCCAGCCCCGAAGCAGCTTTGTTGCTGCATGCGGACCATCTATCAAGACCGCTTGGACCCTTCTGGGCCTTTCTTTTGCTCCTTTTTCCGCTTTTTTGAACTAAATTAATTCTATTTTGCATTTCCTTTTCAGTTCTGTTCTTTTTCTTTTCTTTTTTCCCAGTTTTAATTGCCTTTTGCTGCCGCGGGCGCCGCCGCTCGCGCGCAGCAGCAGCTCGCCGCTGCTCCCCACAGCAGCTCCACGCCTTCTGCTGCACTCCTTTGCTGCAGCAAATAGTTCTTTTAGTTTTTATTTAATCCAAATTCAATTATTTATTCAAAAGAAAATAACCCAAACTATCTTTTCAGTTGACTGGCGGTGTCCTAGTTTGTAGCTGCACGCAGCCAGCTGCAGCAGCTGCAGCAGCTGCAGCAGCTGCAGCAGAGGCAACAGCAACAGCAACACACCGCTGCAGCAGCAGCAGCAGCAAGTGTCCGCGTCAGCAAACAGCGGAAAGGGCTGCAGCAGCAGCAGCAGCAAGCATCCGCAGCAGGAAAGAGCAGCGATTGCTGCAGCAGCAGCACCAGCATCGCTCAATTGCTGCTGCTGTTGCAGCAGCAGCAGCAGCAGCAGCAGCAACACGTAGCAGCACGAAACAAAACCCACTTTACTCTGCACACTTTGGGGGCCCCCCATTACCCCGGGGGCCCCCCAAATTCCCTGGGGGCCCCTGAGGCCCCCTTGGTCCTCTTAGGGCCCCCCAGGGGGCCCCCCTGGGGCCCCCTGGGGTTAGGGGGCCCCCAGGGGGCCCCCTAGTGGGCACTAGGGGCCCCCAGTTTAGTCTTGGGGCCCCCCTGGGGCCCCCAATGTGGTATTGGGGGCCCCCAGGGGCCCCAAACACACTATTGGGGCCCCAGTGTACCCTTGGGGGCCCCTAGGGGCCCTCGAGGGTACTTTGGGGGCCCCTGGGGGCCCCCAAGGGTACATTGGGGCCCCCTAGGGGCCCCTTAATAGTAGTTAAGGGGGGCCCCTTGGTACAATAGGGGCCCCAGGGGGCCCCTAGCATAACATTGGGGGCCCCTATAATAATATGGGGGCCCCTGGGGCCCCCAATAGGTCATTAGGGCTTATGATGGTAATATTGGGGGCCCCTGGGGGCCCCCAATGGTATATTGGGGGCCCCCTGGGGGCCCCTAGTAGGGTACTGGGGGCCCCTGGGGGCCCCCATTAGGGTACTGGGGGCCCCTGGGGGCCCCCCAGTACCCTAATAGGGTACTAGGAGGGGCCCCCAGGGGTTTTATTTTCTTTTCGGATTTAAATAAATTTAAAATTAAAAAATAAATTTATAAAGAGTTTCCTGGAGGCGAGAGAAACTGCTTGGAACGGGATTTGCTGCTGCTGCTGCGCTGCTGCTGCTGCTGCTGCGCTGCTGCTGCTGCTGCTGCTGCTGCTGCGCTGCTGCTGCTGCACTGCAAGCGCACTGCCCACAGGGTCTACTTCTCTCTGTGCAGCAGCAAAGCCCCAGCAGCAACAGCAGCTAGTGCAGCAGCTGCTGCAGCTGCTGCAGCAGCAGCTGCTGCAGCTGCTGCAGCAGCAGCTGCTGCTGCTGCGGATGCTGCAGCAGCAGCTGCAGCAGCAGCAGCAGCTGCAGCAGCAGCTGCAGCAGCAGCTGCTGCTAAAATATTTATTTTTAAATTTAATTTTTATTTTTATAAACTGTAGAAATGAGGATCTCCTTTGTGGAAGAGGTGGTGCTTCTTCTTTTCCTGCTGCTGCTTCAGCTGCCGCAGCAGCTGCTGCTCCTCTTGCACAGCAGCAGCAGCAGCAGCAGCTGCTGCTGCAGCAGCCGCAGCAGAGGAGTACTGCTGCTGCAGCTGCTGCTGCTCAGCAGCAAATTCGGGAGGCCCCTGCAGCAACAGACACAAAAGAAGCAGAGGCGAAACACTGGCTTAACTAGGCCTTCAGGGTTTAGGGTTTAGGGTTTAGGGTTTAGGGTTTAGGGTTTAGGGTTTAGGGTTTACAGGATTGTGCCACTCGAAGTCAGCCCTCATGGTAACCCCCTCTCCCATGGACCCCAGCGCTGCAGAGAGCACCATCTGCATCTGCTGCTGCTGCTGCACTAGCTGCTGCTGCTGCTGCTGCTGCTGCTGCTGCACTAGCTGCTGCTGCTGCAGTTGCTGCTGCTGCAGTTGCTGCTGCTGCAGTTGCTGCTGCTGCTGCAGCCGCGTTTGCTGCTGCTCCTGCGCTTGCTGCTGCTGCTGCTGCACCTGCTGCTGCTGCTGCTGCTGCTGCTGCTGCTGCTGCTGCTGCTGCTGCTGCTGGTGGCTGATGAAGGTGAAAGCATATTTGAATTTTCTGAAGACAAAATGTTTTGCTGCTCTTTTGAACTTAAAAGGAGACTTCAAATAAGTTACTCTCCACTCCAGCCGCGGCTGCCGCTGCGGCAGCAGCAGCACGCCCCCGGGGTAGTTCAGCCAAACCCCTGCTGCTGCTGCTGCTGCTGCTGCTGGCGCTGCTGCTGCTGCTGCTGCTGCTGCTGCTGGTGCTGCTGCTGCAGGTGCTGCTGCTGCAGGTGCTGCTGCAGGTGCTGCTGCAGGTGCTGCTGCGTCTGCTTCTGACGCTGGCGGAGCTTCTGAAGGCTCCGTTGTTGCTGCTGGCGGTCTTGCTGCTGCCGCTGCTGCTGCTGCTGCTGCTGCTGCTGCTGCTGTTTTGTGGGGAAGCCACTGCAGCGTTTGCTGCAGCGTTTTGATTGTGTGGGAAAGAGAAGACGCAGAAGTGGACTCATAAACAATTCTTAAAGACCTCAAATAATAAGCTGACAAACCTCCTGCTGCTGCTGCTGCTGCTGGAGCTGCTGCTGCTGCTGCTGCTGCTGCTGCTGCTGGGGTTGGGGTTGCAGCAGCAGGTGCTGCTGGGCGCGGGAAGGCAGCCGAAGCAGCTCGTGCTGCTGCTGCTGCTGCTGCTGCTGCAGCGCGCTGAGACATGGTGTTAGCAGCTCAGACACGCAAGCAGCAGCAGCTGCTGCTGCTGCTGGCTATGATGGTGGTAATTCTGCTGCTGCTGCTGCTGCTGACTCTGCTGCAGTTCCTGCTGACTGTGCTGCTGCTGCTGCTGCTGGGCGTGCTGCTGCAGCGGCTGCTGCCACAGCAGCAGATGTTTGCGCTGCTGCTGCTGCTCTTTCTACTGTCCCCAAACCCCCAGTCCAAGCAGCAGCAGCAGCAGCAGCAGCGCAGCAGCAGCGCAGCAGCAGCGGCAGCAACGGCGGCAGCAGCAGCAGCAGCAAAGGCACAAAGTAGTGCCACAAAACAGCAAAATGAATTAATGAAACAAATATTAAAAAGAAAAGAAGCAAAAATGCCATCAAACCCTTCGGGGGCCCCCATTTTGAACCCTCTGGGGCCCCGGGGGCCCCCCGGGGGCCCCCAAAGGGTTTATATAAGAAGAAATTCATTTGCTGTTTATATTTTTATATTTATAAATTATTTATTTTGAATTTATATTTATATTTGTTTTTATTGAGCCTTATTTGTCAACCCTAAACCCTAAACCCTAAACCCTAAACCCTAAACCCTCCGCAGCACCTGTTGGTGGCCCGGGATGCACACAGGCGCAGGGTGACCTTCCCCTCAAGGACCTAGGGTTTAGGGTTTAGGGTTTAGGGTTTAGGGTTTGGGATATAGGGTTTAGGGTTTAGGGTCGAGGGTTTAGGGTTTGCAGCTCAGAGCGTTGTGGCGCCACACCGACACCCAGCTGAGACAGCAGCAGCGGCAACAGCAGCAGCAGCAGCGCAGCAGCAGCAGCAGCAACCGCAGCAGCAGCAGCAGCAGCGAAACCGGAAGGCCAAGAGCAAACAAGTGCAGCAGCAGCAGCAGCAGCAGCAGCAGCAGCAGCAAATAGGAAGGCCTGACTGCAGCCAAAGACATAAGTAAACAAGAAGGCAGCAACAAAAGCATATTAATTAATAAATTAATTAAATTAATTAATTAATTGATTTAATTAATTAATTTAATTTAATTAATTAATTAATTTAATTAATTAATTAATTAATATTTTGTTAAAAAATGAAAAGCTGCTGCTTTTTTCTTTTTGCTTTCTGCATGCAAAGAGTCAAAAGTGCGGCTCGGCAATGGCAGCCACCGACTACAGCAGCAGCAGCAGCAGCAGCAGCAGCAGCAGCAGCAGCAGCAGCGGCAGCAGCAGCAGCAGCAGCAGCAGGCAGCAGCAGCAGCAGCAGCAGCAGCAGCACAGTGGTGGTTGACATTGGCAGCAAATATGTTCGCTTCGGATTCGCTGGGGAGCCTTCGCCGGCCCTCGTGCTGCCTCTTTTAAACAGTAAATAAATAAATAAATTATTAATGAATTAATTAATTATTTAATTATTTAATTATTTAATTTAATTAATTTAATTAAATTAATTAAATTAAATTAATTAAATTAAATTAATTAATTTAATTTAATTATTTGTAATTTGTCTGATGGGCAAGAAAGGCTCTCTTTGCTTCTTGGAAAGGCAGGCAGCCACGCCCACGGCGTATGGCTAGCTAGCTAGCTAGCTATCTAGCTAGCTAGCTAGCTAGCTGGCCAACTAGCTAGCTAGCTAGCTAGCTGGGTAGCTAATTATCTAGCTAGATAATTAGCTAGCTGGCTAGCTGGCTAGCTGGCTAGCTAGCTGGCCGGCCGGATAGTTAGTAAGCTGGCTAGCTAGATTGCTAGCTATCCAGCTAGACAGTTAGCTAGCTAGCTAGATAGCCAGCTGACTAGCTAGCTAGATAGATAAACCCGTAGATAACTGGCTAGCTAGCTAGCTAGCTGGCTAATCAGCTAGCCAGACAGCTGGCTGCCTGGCTAGCCAGCTAGCTAGCTACCTAGCTAAGCTGCCTAACCTGCTGCCTGGCTAGCTAGCTGCTTCTGCAATTACATCTTTAGCTAGCTAGCTAAATACCCAGCTGTCCACCTAGCCAGCTAGACAGCTAGCTGCCCGCTTAGCCAGCTAAACAGCCAGCTAGCTAGACAGCTAGCTAGCTAGACAGCTAGCTAGCTAGACAGCTAGCTAGACAGCTAGCTAGACAGCTAGTTAGATAGCTAGCTAGACAGCTAGCGGGTTGCGCAATGATGCTAGTAGCAACATAGCTAGCTAGCTAGCTAGCTAGCTAGCTAGCCAGCTAGGTAGGTAGGTAGGTAGCTAGCTAGCTAGCTAGCCAGCTTGATAGTGGCTGAAAAGTCTGTTGGTCTGCAGGCAGCAGCTGCGAGCAGCTGCTGGAGACGATTTCTTGCGGCATAGAAAGCACGCTGGGGAGCAGCAGCAGCAGCAGCAGCAGCAGCAGCAGCAGCAGCGATGCAGCAGCAGCAGCAACTCTCGCTTTCTGCTGCAGCTCGCTGGCTAGCCGCAGCTGCCAGCAGCAAATTTTAGACCTCGCCTTTGAGAAGCTCAACTGCAGCGAAGCTGTGCTGCTGCCGAGGGCGCCCATGGGGCTCTTTGCTGCAGGTAGCTGCTGCTGCTGCTGCTGCTGCTGTTGCTGCTGCTGCTGCTGCTGCTGCTGCTCGTGATGAAGATGCTGCTGTTGCTGCTGCTCGTGATGAAGATGCTGCTGCTGTTGATGAAGATAATGCGGGTGTTGTTGGTGTTGTTGAGATTATTGGTTTTGCTGCTGTTGCTGCTGCTGTTGGTTTCTTGCTGCTGCTGCTGTGCCTTTTGTTCTTGCTGCTGCTGCTTTGCTGCTGCTGGAAGTGCTGCTGCGGGTGGCAGCAAAGGTGCTGCTGCTGCTGCTGCTGCTGCCTCACTGACTTCGTTTTTTCTGCTGCTTCCAGTGAATACAGCGGCGCTCACTCTGCTGCAGCAGCAGCAGCAGCAGCAGCAGCAGCAGCAGCAGCAGCAGCAGCAGCAGCAATTGTGTTAATTGTTGTTTAGGGTTGAGCCGAGGCATAGCAGTGGAAATGGGAGATAAAATAACAAGTGCTGTTCCTGTTCTTGATTTCTACGAGCTGCCCCACGCCACCTTCAGAATGCCCGTTGGCGGTAAACCCTAAACCCTAAACCCTAAACCCTAAACCCTAATTCGGGGCTTAAGCCAGTCGGGCCTTGTGCTGACTTCTTCTTGCAGCTTCCGTTTGTGTGGCCCCCAGCCCTAAACCCTAAACCCTAAACCCTCGAGCGCAGCTGTGAGAAAAGCAGGACTCGATGGAGCTGCTGGCTGTGAAGCCAACCCTAAACCCTAAACCCTAAACCCTAAACCCTAAACCCTAATTCGGCGTTTATGAGCAGGCGCCGACGTGACTGCTGCCTTTGAAGAAGAACTGAGGAAGAAAGGGTTTGGGGGTTTAGCGCCAGAGCAGCTGGAGGCTGCCAAGGCGAGTCTGGTGTACGTACACCCCAAACCCTTCAGAAGCAGCAGCAGCAGCAGCAGCAGCAGCAGCAGCAGCAGCAATTATACGTTTTCCAGGGACGAGGAGGACGAAGACGAAGGGGAAAAGGCCCTGGAGCTGCCAGACGGCACATTCATTGAGGCGAGTGTAGCGCAAACCCTGAAAAAGGGTTTAGGGTTTAGAGTTTCGGGTTCAGGACTTAGGGTTTAGGGTTTCTACACGGGCAGGAACGACAAAAAGCCGCCGTTTGAAGGCAAAAAAACCCAAAATGAAGAAACAAATGAATAAATGTATTTTAAAATTATTAAATAATTTATTTAATGAAAAATTTCCGAATTTAAATCCAAAATGGAAGTTCGCGAGCTCGCCCGTGGGGTGTCTGCGCAGCTCGACGGCTGCGCCCGGCGGCGACCCGCGGAAGTTTACTTCGGAAGTTTTGGAGCTTTTGGCGAAAAAAGAGAAAATAAAGGAAAAAAAGAAGAAATAAATGGAAATAAAGAGTCAAATGAGGAAGCAAACCGCGAGAAAGAGAGCAGCAGCAGCAGCAGCAGCAGCAGCAGCAGCAGCGCGGGCTGGAGCGACGCGCAGCTGCTGCCAGCAGCAACTTTGACGGATATTATTGTGAAGGCCTTCAGGTGTACAGACACCTCACTCGCACCTGCACTGACACCCCACATTGTCTTCTGCAGAGGAGCTTCTTTGCTGCAGGGGCTGCAGCAAAGAATGCTGCAAGAGCTGCGTTCCCTGAGTCTAAACCCCAGCAGCAGCAGCAGCAGCAGCAGCAGCAGCAGCAGCAGCAGCAGCGGAGCAGCAGGGGCCAGCAACGGCAGCTGCGCAGCGGCGCTGCCACCACCAGATCCCGCTGCTGCTCCCGCTGCTCCTGCTGCTGCGCCTGCTGCTGCTGCTGCTGCGCCTGCTGCTGCTGCTGCTGCTGCTCCGGACACTCCTGCTGCTGCTGCTGCTGCTGCTGCTGCTGCTGCACCTGCGGGAGTCACTCTTGTCTTCGCCAGCAACCGCCAACACGCTTCTTGGGTAGGAGGGTCTATGATTTCATCTTTGTCCACTTTTAGGGTTTTGACAATTTCAAAATTGGATTATTTGGAGGGCAAAAGCAGCAAACAAACCCTCATTGACCAG